CACAACCTCACTAACACCCCCTTTCCTCTCTCTGACCACAACCTGATTACCTTCTCTATCTCCTCGTCCTCCAACGCCTACCCCTCCAAATGTCACACTACTACCAGCCGTAACCTCCGCAACCTTAACCCTGCCCCCCTCCACTCTGCAGCTGATCAACTCCATGACAGCATCCTCCCCCTGTCCTGCCCCGACTTGGCTATGACTGCCTACAACAACGCGCTGTCAACAGCCCTTGACTCACTAGCGCCTTTAACCACACGCAACATCAGACCCCGACCGCTCCAGCCCTGGCAGACTGATCACACCAAAACCCTCAAACGACACAGTCGTGCCCTGGAGCGACTATGGCGCAAAACAAATCCCAACAAGCCTTCACCCGCTACAAATCTGCCTTCCGCACCTACACCTCCTCCCTCCACGCAGCCAAACAAGCCTACTTCCTGACCCTCATCAAGACCCCCTCTCCTCCAACTCTCGCTGACTCTTCTCCACCTTCAACTCTCTCTCTCTCCTCCACCCCCACCTCCACCCAGCACCTCACTCACCGCCCTTGAGATTGCCAATCACTTCAAAAACAAGATTGACACAATTCGCAAGGACATTGCCGCAACTCTCACACGCCCCCTCTCAACCCGTCCCCTCTCACACAGCTACCCCCTCATCCCCCCTCCCCCTCGACATAACCCGCAGGGACTTCGTCACTGCTCAAACTCCCTCCAACCCCGTTCCCCCTCACTCAGCTACCCCCCCTCATCACCCCTCTCCCACGGCCCCACCACTGCTCTGACCTGACCTCTTCCTTCCCCCACCCTACATTCCTCATACTGAAGCTCCCCCAACACTCCACACCTTTGACCTTACTACCATCGAGGAAGTCTCCAAGATCCTCTCTGATGCCCGCCTCACCACCTGCCCCCTCGACCCTATCCCCTCACAATTCCTACGACCTCCCTCCCCCTCCATCCTACGCTCCCTCACCCACATCTTTAATCTCTCCCTCTCCTCCGGCACTTTCCCCTCCCCACTGAAGCATGCACACATCACCCCCATACTTAAAAAGCCCTCCCTGGACCCCAATGACCCGAACAACCTCAGACCCATCTCCCTGCTCCCACTTACATCTAAACTCCTCGAGCGCCTCGTCTACACCCGCCTATGCTCTCACCTCAACGACAACAACCTCCTCGATCCCCTACAGTCTGGCTTCCGTCCCCTACACTCCACCGAAACCGCCTTACTCAAACTCTCCAACGACCTTCTAACCGCCAAAGCTAATGGCCACTATTCAGTGCTCCTACTCCTTGACCTCTCTGCGGCCTTCGACACAGTTGACCACCCCCTCCTCCTCAAAATACTACACTCCCTCGGCCTCAGAGATTCTGCTCTCTCCTGGCTCTCATCCTACCTGTCACAACGCTCTTTCAGCGTTACCTATAATGCTACCACCTCCCCCTCACTCCCCCTCTCTGTTGGGGTCCCTCAAGGCTCTGTCCTTGGGCCCCTTCTCTTCTCCATCTACACCTCCTCCCTTGGCCAACTCATACACTCTCACGGCTTCAACTACCACCTCTATGCCGACGACACACAAATCTATCTCTCAACCCCCCACCTCACCCCCTCGGTCTCTGCCCGAATCACACACCTACTGAGCGACATATCAGATTGGATGTCGCTCCACTTCCTTAAACTGAATCTCTCCAAAACCGAGTTTCTTGTCTTCCCCCCAGCCCGAACCCCACCCCCCATTGACTTCTCCATCACATCCAACAACGCCAATATCAAACCCGCCCTGCAGGCCAGAGTACTTGGTGTCATTCTGGATTCCAACCTATGCTTCCAGCCCCAAGTCCAATCTTTAACAAACTCGTGCAGACTCCACCTCCGCAACATCGCCAAAATCCGCACGTTCCTAACCCCAGAAACCACTAAACAGCTCATCCACTCCCTCATCATATCACGACTCGACTACTGCAACTCCCTCCTCACTGGCCTGCCTCGCCGCTGGCTATCCCCACTTCAGTCGATCCTGAATACGGCTGCCAGACTCATTCACCTATCCAACCGCTCCGTTTCCGCCACCCCCCTCTGCCAATCCCTCTACTGGCTTCCGATTGTGCAACGGATCAAATTTTAAAATCCTAACACTGACGTACAAAGCTGTCCACCATACTGCCCCGAACTACATCACCGACCTAATATCCAAGTACCGCCCGCCCAGCACGCACACTCCGCTCCTCACAAGACCTCCTTCTCTCTAGTTCCCTGGTCTCCTCCTCCCATGCCCGCCTCCAGGACTTCTCCAAGGTGTCACCCATCCTCTGGAACTCCCTTCCCCAACCCATCAGATTATCACCTACTCTCCTCTCCTTTAGGCGCACCCTGAAAACCCATCTCTTCAGGGAAGCCTACCCCCTGCTAACTTGACCGACCTCCTCCACTCTTCCTACCACTCCATCCCCCACAGCTATCTCCTCCTGTACCACTATCCCGTCTCTTCTAGATTGTAAGCTCGAAAGAGCAGGGCCCTCGATTCCTTCATGTTTTGCATTGTATTGGTATTGTTTTGTCACATGTTCTGTCCCCCTTTGTAATGTACAGCGCTGAGTGAACTATCGGCGCTTTATAAATACTGTATAATAATAATAATATAATAATATTAATGAGGGACTCCTCAACTCAGATTTTTTGCTGGGGAGTATAGACATCTGCAAATTTTTGGTTAAGGTGATTTACGAGGAGCTGAATTTTGTGGAGCCAGTCAAATTCAGGGTCACCCTGAGGATGACAGAGTGTATTGTCTTTGAAATGCATAAAACACATTATACTCTCATATCTATGTCTAGCCATGGCAGCACAGAACACGGTATATGATGAATCGGGTCTGAACCAATACAACCGCAATTCATTTTTTTTCGTAATGCCCATGTTAAGGGTTAGGCCCAAAAAAATTTAAAATCAGAAACCGTAATGGGTGTCCATGTGAATGGTCTGGCAAAGTTTGAATTTGGGTTGGCAGCAATAAATTGTTGTGCATATGAATTGCTTTGATCCAAAATCAATGCCTACAGATCTTCCATGAAAAAAAACTCCAAAAAATCAAGGGGAGTAGTTAAATTTGCTGTTTCCACCTGAATTCCGGGTTGGTCAGTGAATCGGGGAAGTACGGGTGCTGTAGAATTTGTGGGCTGCCAGTCGGGATTTGCAAGCACATCCAGAAGGATACTAGAGGCTCTATGGGCCTGAGTTTGAATTCCTGGTGGTTGCAGGACACTACTTGTGCTCACCACCACACCAGCTTGTACTGCACTTATGGGACGCCATGTCACCAAGTGACACTGCAGTGCTGGTATGTGAAAGACCAGGATGTACTAGACCACTGGTGCTCACCAGTTCACCAAAAGGTAGAGCGGCACTAATACTGTCTGCATATCAGCGTCATCAAAATTTACTGTCAAGTGCTAGCAGAGATCAGGCCTGATTCTGCGAACACTGCGGTTTTGTGTGCAATGTATCAAGTGAAAGTGGCCTACTGACACTGCACTTGCTGGGGGAGAAGGGGGGGGGTAAGAGTAGGGGCTAAACGCAGGTGCTAGGACTGATCCCGCTAACGCTGTCTTTTTGAGGACACTATACTAATGTGAATGCTGGTATAGTGCTGATCTGATCAAAGATATTTATCTGTTGAGACACTATACTAGCAATGGAGGTTTATTGTGTATGAGCGTGTTCCTGGCAATCAAGGGGTTAAATGTGATTACTGGTGTACTGACGGACAATCTGATGTTATCTGGGAGGGGTGTGAAAACCACGGGAGTGCGAATCACGTATATATACGTGATTTTGCGCACCCGTGCCGCCCTGTAGCAGTATTTTTGCTATAGGGCAGTCAGGAAGCGGTTTGTGTTACGGCGCTGCGTTACCTTAACTTACAATTGCGCGATCATGCAACGCTGCATCCAAACTAAGTTTGAGTCCTTTTTTCCCGATAAATTGAACTATCTTTCCGTGGTATTTGTTCGCATGTGCGGTTTTTATTATTTATGCTGGAAAAAAAAAAGGTCGACAATTTTGAAAAAAAAAACAAAACCATATTTTGGACTTTTTGCTATTAAACATGTCAGACAATATAAGCTTACTTTGCTTATATTGAAGAAATTGAATGACCACAGAAATAAGGCAGCTTACTACAGTGTACAATAGCACTACATATGTTGCAGCTCATACACTTCTTCAGGCAGAAAAGGACACTGTTTATCCAAGGCACTTTCCAGTCATAATATATCAAGCACTTACAGAACATTGAATGCCAGAGCAGCACTTCCCTTGAAGAAGGCTATGATATTGCATGGTCACATTGCAATTCCCAAATGTCCTTTCAGATATCTGTCTGCCAGTGGGAGCCTGTTCCAAGTCCAAGAAGCAGATAGAGGAGACATTGTGTAATTAAAAAGAAAAAAAAAACTTATTTCTCTTTGACAGGTACTTCTTCCTAACACTATTACTACTGTCTCCTTAACCAGAGGGGTCCCTATCCCTGTCTTACTTCCACATTGCGGGCACACCGGATGATGCAGAATGTTCTATTTATGGAATTATTTTGAGTCAAGATGGCTACACAAATCTTGCTGGAGTTCCGTATCCAATAGAATTTTTGTCCGCCCCAAGATAGCTTCCTGGAGTCCATAGCAGGGGACAATTAGTATTCAATGGGCTCCTACCAGCCTGAAGAAATTGCACAATGCTACCTTCAGGTTGGACAATATACTTACAGTACATACAGATACTATGAAGACACTATACTAGTTATTGGTATTAAGTTTGTCCTATTTATTTTCATTTTATTTAATTTTATTGATTTGTTACATTATTAAGCAAGATAAGAAGAGTAAAGAGAATCCTTGAATTACATAAATTGTTACCTGATCTTTATAAAAGAATAACTGTATACTGTAAAGTCTCAAATTAATTTCCTACAGGTTGATCGGTTCCTGTACCATATGCGTCTCTCAGATGAAACCTTGCTGGATATCATGGCTCGTTTCCAAGTAGAGATGGACAAAGGTCTGAAGAAGGATACAAACCCAACAGCATCATTGAAAATGTTGCCAACTTATGTAAGGTCAACTCCTGATGGTTCAGGTGGTGGTTAAAATAAAAACACTTTCCAATTGTATTTTAACTCCTGGAAGTGAATTTTAATTCCATTGCTGGGATGTATTGCTGTCTTTGACCCTTGTAAAGAGGTTGGTTTCTTGCACGGACACAACACACCCCACCGCCCCCTGTAGAATGCTTCTCCAAGTATTTGTATAAAGGCAGCAATGGAAGGCTAGTTACATTGTTACGACAATTTTATAGAAAACAGAACATTTGCATTATGCAAAGCTGGTTAACTGTATACATACTATAACATGTGGGTCTTGTGACCGTCACTGCTTGTGTACATTTTATATAGTCATTTATAATGTTTGTTACCTGTGTATTACAGAAAAGGGGGATTTCCTTGCTCTGGATCTGGGTGGCTCCATGTTCAGAGTTCTGAAAGTGAATGTATCTGACGATGGAAAGCAGAATGTACATATGGACAGTCAATTTTATCCAACTCCCAGTAATATATCCACTGGAAATAAAACAGAAGTAAGTTGACCTAGGAGTCACATTTAAAGTGCATTTGCAACACTGTTGACGATTTTCTTTAATATCATGTCTGGTAAAACCATACCTTCGTAGGAGCCGCTGGATGTTGCTTTTCCTCTGGTGCTTCTCAACCCTTCTGACATTCTAGGTTCAATCATATTGAGCACAGACAACAGCACTACTCTAATTGATTAGAAGAACACAACTCAGTTTGGGAAGCACATAAGGCATATGTTAGGGGAATCCTGATCTCAATAGGGGGGGGGGGGGGGGATAAGGTTATTAACGAAGGAATGATATGATTTACAACAATTACATAAAAAGAAAATAGATTCAGATATACAACAGAAGATAATTTTAAAAAGAAGAGTTGAAAGACTTTATGGAATTAGAAGCGAGGAGGATTTTTAAAAGGGTTTCAAAAGAAAGATATCAGTGGGGGAATAGACCAGGAAAATATTTATCAAGAAAATTAAGGGCAAAGAAATCAAGAAATTTTATAGAAAAAATTAAAGATGAAAAAGATGAAATGGTACAGTCAACCATTGATATCGCTAATGCATTTTAAAAATACTATAGTAGTTTATACAGAGCAAAATTTAAGAACCAGAAAGAAAGGAAAGAAGGCAGACATATCTAAAGGAGGCCGGTCTACCAAGACTGGAAGCAGCAAGACTAGCCTTAGAAAAGCTAATTTCAATGAAGGAAATAGGTATAGCATTGAAGAGTATGCACAGGAAGGATCCCCGGAACAGATGGATATGCAGTGGGTTATTATAAAAAGTGAAAGAATTGAAATTGAAAGTATTAGTAACTAGGATGAAAGAGTTGATACTGGATTGGATACACGTAGATAAAGTGGGATTCATTCCTGGCAGAGAAGGAAGGGACAATGGATTAAGAACATTGCTCCTCCTGCAAAAAAGGAGACGCTTTTGATAGGGTAGATTGGGGTTTCATGATAGATATGTTAGAGGCATTAGGAATTGGGCCCAAAATGTTACAGTTGATAAAGTTTTATAGTGGCCCATCAGCAGTGGTGAAAGTCAATTGGTCCCCATCACAGTATTTTAGAATGTATAATGGAACAAGGTAGGGATGTCAACTTTCCCCCATTTGTAATATCTCTAGAACCGTTATTAGTGATGATACGAAATAGTGTAGCTGTAAAGGGAATTGGGATAGGAGATGTGGAACGCAAGGTTGTGGCATACGCAGATGATATGCTGTTTTATATCACAAACTCTAGACTAATGTTACCTAATCTAATGAGAGGATTAAAATACTATGGAGAGTTATCAAATTTGAAAATTAACCCCTCAAAGTCAGAGATATTAAATATCAATGTACAAAAAATAGAGAAACAGAACCTACAAAAAGACTACCCTTTTACAAAGGAGGGAAAAAGAATTAAATTATTTGGGAATAAAGTTAACCCCGTCTATAAAGAATTTGTATCAGGTAAATTATATTCCACTAATAAATGAGATAAAGGAAGAATTGGGAAGAATTTCTATGGGATTGCTTTCCTGGATAGGTCGTATAAACATGGTAAAGATGGTGATAGTACCAAAAATCTTGTACAAGTTTCACATGCTCACAATATACTTGCCAGGGTCTTTCTTTGCGACCCTAAAAAAATGATACTTGGGTATATATGAGCAAATAAAAAAACCAAGCTTCAAATATGCAATTCTGTGTAACGATAAAATGAAAGGGGGTTTAAACTTGCCTGACTTTAAGAGATATTAATTTTCGTGTTAACGGGGGAAAAGTTGGGTAAAAATGGAAAGTACACTTAGTAAGTCACAATTAGATAGGATTATTTGGCTTCCCCACAAGTTTCATATACTGAATGAAAATACAAGCACTTTGACACGAAATGTACTGAGGGTATGGGATGTATTGTATAAGCAAATTAGTTGGAAGTATAATTTACTTTTAATACCATTGGTGGGAACAGAGTTTTTCCCACCGGAGAACGATAAAATCTCATGGAAATGGATAAAAGATAAAAATGCACACTTAAAAGATATTGTAGATAAGGGGAAATTATGTTATTTTCAAGATTTAAAAGTTAAAAAAATAATTATTTCTCACATCAGATGAATGGCATTATTACCAATTAGGAAATTTTGTTGCAGCGCTCCCGCAGCCACTAAGGACAGTGGAAGACATGTATCCATTTGAACAAATGTTTAGTTTAAATATAATCCAAAAACATGTCACTTCTGGGATTTATAAGATCCTTATGGCAATGGCTGGATCTGATTCCCCACTATTCTTGGAAAAATGGGAAAAGGAGCTAGGAACACAACTAAATGAGCAACGAAAAAATTAAATATTTAAATTAACACATGGGGTGGTAAATATGAATATAGTACAAATGAATTACAAATGTTTAGTAAGATGGTATATTACACCTAGTGTGGCACATAATCAACGACCAGATGTTTCACCTTTGTGTTGGAAGGGGTGTGGTATTAAGGGAACAATGGCACATATATGGTGGGATTGACCTAAAATACATAAGTTTTGGCAAGAAATAATTCAATATATACAGAAGATATTGGGGGTCAGCATACCGAAGGACCCGTGGGTGTGTTTATTCCATAAACCGGAGTCTTCAGTGAAACAATATAAGAATATAATGCTATTTTATTTAATAAATGCGGCCAAAGGACTTATCCCCAAATACTGGCAAGCACAAGAATCTCCAAAAATAAAATATTGGATAAATAGAGTTGAGTATATTTACAAGATGGAGCAATTATACCACATAGATGAGGATAAAAATTGAAAAATTAAAAAAAATGGGGTAGATGGTATGATTTTAGATCATCAAAGAGTTTCCTAGAAGTAGTCGGAGTCTAAAGAGTAGGAAGAGATCCATGAAAGGAATTAGGACCCAGTAAGAGGGTAAAAAGAGAGGTAGGTGGAAAAAAGGGGAGTGATAAATAGAGTATTAGAGGAACTATAAGTAAAAGAAAATAGTAAGAAAGTGGGGGAAATTTGAAGGGGGGGGGAGGGAATAGGTAAATGGCTGTGAAAATTTGCATTTTTGTAATGTTTACTATAAAGTTGATTTTGTAATAAAAAAATTCAATGAAAGTTATCATTCAAAACAAAAAGGAATCTAGCATGGTCCCTGATGGACACTAATTTACATGATTCACACCATTTACATGTGTGGCCATGCGTGCCCAGTATTGGAATTGGCACCAATGGGCTATTCAGAGGTCAGCCTTGCCTGGAATCAGTGCTGATTTGTTTTCAGCAGTATCATGTGACTACACCTCCCTTTGCCCATCCAGCTTGTCCTGTGATCTTTTCTGGGATTCTCAGCTTCTAACCTCATCTGAGCTTTTGTACATTTATTCCCAACTTCAGCCTGTTCCTACATCTCTGTCTGCTGACTCTGTATATCATGACCTGGCTGTTGCTGTCTCTGTCCTGTGACTCCGCACCTGTTGCTGGATTAATACCCTGCTGCTTATCTGTTGCTCACCCTGACTTGTGTTCTGACAATGCTGCTGCTTCATAGTCTGCTGTCTACTCATTTCCCCTATATTTGTGTTCTTGTCCTTATCAACCCAACGCTCATAACTGCCAAAGGACTTTGTAACATACCACAGGTACTCATGCCACTCCATTATCCTTGTGCCACCTATCTTATCACTTAGGGGTGCTTGGACTAGAGGTGAATGAGAGGCTGCCCAGAAAGAGAACAAGGATAAAACAAACTGAAATGTATGCATTAATCAGCTGAATGGCATTATTCTTTCCCATATTTATATCCTGGTTGCGTAAAGAGCAGAAGAAAATCAAAAACTAGGAAGAGAAGGAGAGAGGTGAAAGACTTTTGATGAGTTTACGTTGTGGACTTATTTATGGATACGTGTGTATCAGTATGTGTTCAAAAATCTGATGGGGGTTTTGAGGTTAAATAATATTTTCCAAAAAAACTTTTTATTGTTAGTAACTATTGCATAGCTTTTATTGTCATTTCACTAATGGAGGGTGCTTTGACACCAATATAGTACTCTTTCTAAATGCTTTGTTATTGTTGATTACAGCTTTTTGAATATGTTGTTGACTGCCTTGGTGATTTCATAAAGAAGAGACAAATAACAGAGAAGCTTCCACTTGGATTCACCTTCTCATTCCCATGCAAGCAGACCAAATTAGATGAGGTAAAGTATTTGCCAACAATTAACATATAGATAGATATACGTACAAGACATACACATAGAGCATTTCTGATGCAATATTGGGCCTTTTCAGAATTATGGGTGAGCATTGTATACCCCAGTTTGGCACTTTATAGATGATGGATTTGATTTATAGAAGAGCTGTGGTTCAATTGATTGCAATTTACTATTTTCAAACAAGCTGTTAAAATTATTTATTTAGAATTAATATGTTTATCTGCTCATCTTATATTACCTGTAGTTTTTCCAAAATATACTGCTCAAAAAAATTAAAGTAACACTTTGAAAACACATCAGCTCTCAATGGGGAAAAATATCATGCTGGATATCTATACTGATGTGGACTGGATAATGTGTTAGGAATGTAAGGATGTCCCATCATTTGATGGAAATGATCAACCTACAGAGGACCGAATTTAAAGACACCCCGAAAATCAAAGTGAAAAAATAATGCAGCAGGCTAGTCCATTTTGCTGAAATTTCATTGCAGCAACTCAAAATGGTACTCAGTAGTTTGTATGGCCCGCACGTGTTTGTATGCATTCCTGACAACATCGGGGCATGCTGCTAATGAAACAACGTATGGCATAATCAGATGAACCAAAACTTGAAATCCCAGAGGTGTAAGTCAGGGGAGCGTGGGGGCCATTCAATGGTATCAATTCCTTCATCCTCCAGTAACTGCCTGCATACTCTCGCAACATGAGGCCATGCATTGTCATGCACCAGGAGGAACCCAGGACCCACTGCACCAGCATAGGGTCTGACAATAGGTCCAAGAATTTCATCCCGATACCTAATGGCAGTCAGGGTGCCATTGTCTAGCCTGTAGAGGTCTGTGCGTCCTTACATGGATATGCCCCCCCAGTCCATCACTGATTCGCCAACAAAATGGTCATGCTGAACGATGTTACAGGCAGCATAACATTCTCCACTGCTTCTCCAGACCCTTTCATGTCTGTCACATGTGCTCAGGGTGAACCTGCTCTCATCTGTGAAAAGCACAGGGCACCAGTGGCAGACCTGCCAATTCCAGTGTTCAATGGCAAATACCAATCAAGCTCTATGGTGCCAGGCAGTGAGCACAGAGCCCACTAGAGGACATCGGGCCCTCAGGCCACCCTCATGAAGTCTGTTTCTGATTGTTTGGTCAGGGACATTCACACTAGTGACCTGCTGGAGGTAATTTTGTAGGGCAGTGCTCATCCTGTTCCTCCTTGCACAAAGGAGCATATACCGGTCCTGCTGATGGGTTAAGGAACTTCTATGGCCCTGTCTAGCTCTCCCAGAGTAACTGCCTGTGTCCTGGAATCTCCTCCATGCTCTTGAGACTGTGCTGGGGGACACAGAAAACCACCTGCCAATGGCACGTATTGATGTGCCATCCTGGAGGAGTTGGACTGCCTGTGCAACCTCTGTAGGGTCCAGGTATCACCTCATGCTTACAGTAGTGACACTGACCCTAGCCAAATGCAAAACGAATGAAAACAGTCAGAAAAGATGAGTAGGGAAAAAAATGGCAGTGACCTCCACCTGTAAAACTGTTCCTGTTTTGGGGGTTGTCTCATTGTTGCCCATCTAGTGCCCCTGTTGTTGATTTCACTAATACAAAAGCAGCTGAAACTGATTAACAACCCTCTCTGCTACTTATCTGACCAGTTCAATATCCCAAGAGTTTAATTGATTTGATGCCATACTCTGATTAAAAAGTGTGTACCTTTAATTTTTTTGAGCAGTGTATTAAGATGGTGTTTAATTTGTGTACATTCAACACATTTTGAAGTCAGCTCACCTGAATGTGCTTTCTCCAGTTTCTGTACAGGAAGAGTTGGTGTGTCTGCACGATGTGTCTGCTATACATTCATAATAATCATCACATTTTGAATGTTGCTATGAAACCAATATCTTTATTCTGTCATGTTAAAAGCATCACAGCGGAAGATATGCAAAGCAAAAGTTTCAAATGGGAATAAAGCATTTTTCAACCTTCTGGGTCTTCACACAAAAATATTAAAATCAAAAGCAACATTTTATAGGTCTGCACCTGTGCTGTACTGGATTTTGAAGAGTGGAGAGGGATTAGAACACCTGTCAGTTTTTACTGCTGTCTGTGCCCCTGTTAGTGAGATTCACCCTCTATTTGTCCTGTTTACTGTCATCATTGAAAGTGAAAGTAAAATAAAATCCAGAATTTTGGGTTGACATCAGAACTAGAGATGAGCGAATCGAACCAGGCGAAGTGGAATTCGTTTCGAATTTCAGGAAAACTTCGATTCGCGGCGAATCCGAATATTAGCATACTTCGGGTGCGCGAATCGGATTTTTCCCGATCAGCCGGCAAAAGTGTCCCTGCAGAGAGCTCCGCTATTTCTGACAGTTCTCTGACAGTTCCTTCACATTGTACAGCGGTTGAAACATTGTATCTATTTGTTTTTCATTTAGGATACAGATGTTTTTATTCGGAAACAGATACAATGTTTTTCAACCGCTGTAAATGTGAAGGAACTGTCAGAGAACTGTCAGAAATAGCGGAGCTCTCTCTGCAGATAACACTTTTTTTTGCTGTACTGGAATACTTCTTCTTTTCATTCTTCTTTTCATTCTTCTCATTCTTCTTTTCATTCTTCTTCTTTCATTCTTCTTCTCATGAAACAAATAGATACTTTTTTTCTTTATGGAAACAAATAGATACAATGTTTCAACCGCTTGTGTAAATGTGAATGTCAGAGAACTGTCAGAAATAGCGGAGCTCGTGCAGATACACTTAGCGGAGCTCTGCAGATACACTTTTTGCCGGCTTGGAATTCTTCTTATTTTCATCCTACATCTTCTTCTTCTTCTTCTTCTATCATCCTCATCCTCAGAAGAAGAAGAAGAAGAAGTAGGATGAAAAATAAGAAGAATTCCAAGCCGGGAAAAAGTGTATCTGTCAGAAATAGAGGAGCTCTGCAGATACACTTTTCTCATGGCTGCCGGCTTGGAATTCCTTCTTATTTTCATCCTAACTTCTTCTTCTTCTTTTCTTCATCCTCATTCCTCAATCCTCTCTTTCCATCCTTCTTCTTCTGAGGATGAGATTGAAGATGAAGAAGAAGAAGAAGTAGGATGAAAAAAAGAATAATTCCAAGCCGGCAAAAAGTGTATCTGCAGAGCTCCGCTAAGTGTAATCTGCATAGCGGAGCTCTGCAGATACACTTAGCGAGACTCTGCAGATACACTTTTTGCCGGCTTGGAATTCTCTTCTTATGTTTCATCCTACTTCTTCATTCTTCTTCTCTTCATCCTAATCCTCAGAAGAAGAAGAAGAGGATGAGGATGAAGATGAAGGAGAAGAAGAAGAAGAAAGAGTAGGAGATGAATAAGAGAAGAATTCCAAGCCGGAAAAAAAAGAGTATCTGTCAGAAATAGAGGGAGCTTCTGCAGATACACTTTTTGCCGGGCTTGGAATTCTTCTTATTTTCATCCTACTTCATTCTTCTTTCTTCCTTCTTCATCCTCATCCTCATCCTCATCCTCAGAAGAAGAAGAGGATGAGGATGAAGAAGAAGAGAAGAAGAAGTAGGATGAAAATAAGAATGCCGTTTCCAAGCCGGGAAAAGTAGATAACTTATCTGTATCAGTCAGAAATAGAGGAGCTCTGCAGATACACTTTTTGCCGGCTTGGAATTCTTCTTATTTTCATCCTACTTCTTCTTCTTCTTCCTTCTTCATCCTCATCCTCTTCTTTCTTCTTGAGAGATGAGGATGATGAAGGAAGAAGAAGAAGAAGTTAGGATGAAAATAAGAAGGAATTCCAAGCCGGCAAAAAGTAAGAATTCCAGAGCTTCCAAAAAGTGTATCTGCAGAGCTCCGCTAAGAAATAGCGGAGCTCTGCAGATACATTTTTTGCCGGCTTGGAATTCTCCTTCTTCTCATCCTTCTTCTTCTTCTCATCCTTCTTCTTCTTCTCATCCTTCTTCTTCTTCTCATCCTTCTTCTTCTTCTCATCCTTCTCCTTCTTCTCATCCTTCTTCTTCTTTTCATCCTTCTTCTTCTTCTCATCCTTCTCCTTCTTCTCATCCTTCTTCTTCTTCTCATCCTTCTTCTTCTTCTCATCCTTCTTCTTCTTCTCATCCTTCTTCTTCTTCTCATCCTTCTTCTTCTTCTCATCCTTCTCCTTCTTCTCATCCTTCTTCTTCTTCTCATCCTTCTCCTTCTTCTCATCCTTCTTCTTCTTCTCATCCTTCTTCTTCTCATCCTTCTCCTTCTTCTCATCCTTCTTCTTCTTCTCATCCTTCTTCTTCTCATCCTTCTCCTTCTTCTCATCCTTCTCCTTCTTCTCATCCTTCTTCTCATCCTTCTCCTTCTTCTCATCCTTCTTCTCATCCTTCTCCTTCTTCTCATCCGTCTCCTTCTTCTCATCCTTCTCCTTTCTTCTCATCCTTCTCCTTCTTCTCATCCTTCTCCTTCTCCTTCTTCTCATCCTTTTCCTTCTCCTTCTTCTCATCCTTCTCCTTCTTCTCATCCTTCTCCTTCTCCTTCTCCTTCTTGTCATCCTTCTCCTTCTTCTCATCCTTCTCCTTCTTCTCATCCTTCTCCTTCTTCTCATCCTTCTCCTTCTCCTTCCTCATCTCCAAGGGCATTTAAATTAAAGGTACAGTGTTCTGCACTAATATAAAGGCTCTCTGAAGCCTAGAAACCCTTTTTATAAGTTAAATTCGCAGCGAATAAATTCGCATCGAATCGAATTTCTTCCTCAAATTCGGCGAATCAGCCGAATCGAATTTTTGAATAATTCGCTCATCTCTAATGGGATGTTAATTCTGGTTACTCTGGTGACACTCCAGGATTCCCTCATTTTGGAGGGATTTCCTCCCATTTCATTTTGGCTATGGAACAGGAAGTGAAGGGAAATCTCCCCTATGAGACACAGATAGCAAGAAAAAAAACTGACCAGATTATAACCCTCCCTTGCTCTATCCACAATTAAATAAATGTTTTGCCTTTTGTTACACTTTAACCTTTATCACATCCCAGCAATAATAAATATATATATATATATATATATATATTATATGTATGTGTGTGTGTATATGATGTATGTGTGTGTGTAATATATAGTATGTATATAGATAGATATTACAGGTTTGTTTGTTTTAAATAACAAATATGTCATACTTACCTGCTCTGCGTAATGGTTTTGCTCCTCCTCCTTTTCTCAGGTCCCCCACCAGCACTCTTGGCTCCTTCCACTTGACCAGTGCCCCCAATAGCAAGCCATCTGCTATGGGGGCACTGGCGTGTGCTTGCACCCAAGCCCTGTTCTGTTCTTCTATAAGACACATAGGATCATGGCCCAGGCTCCACTCTCTCTTCATTGGCTCACTGGCTATGATTGACAGCAGTGGGAGCTAATGGCTCCTGCTGCTGTCTCAATCAATAAGGAGTGAGAGACCCGGGACCATCACATTGCGGGATCGAGAGGGGGCTCAGGTGAGTATTAGGGGGAGCTGTGGGGGAATCGGCACACAGAAGGTTTTTTACCTTCATGCATTCTTCAGGCTTTACCACCACTTTAACCACTTTCCTACAGGACACTTATACCCCCTTCCTGTCCAGGCCAATTTTCAGCTTTCAGCGCTGTCACACTTTGAATGACAATTGCGCGGTCATGCAACACTGTACCCATAGGAAATTTTTAGAATTTTTTTCACACAAATTGAGCTTTCTTTTGGTTGTATTTAATCGCCACTGGTTGTTTAATTTTTTGCACTATAAACAAAAAAAGAGCAAAAAATTTGAAAAAAAAAAAAAAAATTTTCTTTGTTTCTGTTATAAACTTTTGCAAACAGGTAATTTTTCTCCTTCACTGATGTGCATTGATAATGCTGCACTGATAGGCAGCTCTGATGGGCATTAATAGGCGGCACTGATGAGGTGGCATGGATAGGTGGCACTGATAGGCAGCACTGCTGGGTGACTGGGCACTGGTGGGGTGGCACTGCTGGGTACAGATGGGTGGCACTGCTGGGCACTTGTGGGTGGGACTGCTGGGCACTTGTGGGTGGGACTGCTGGGCACAGGTTGATGGCACTGATCATCAGGGCACTGATCATCAGTGCCCTGATGATCAGTGCTGATCTGTTTTCTGACAATTGCCGGTTATTGGCAGTGCTTTCCTCACGCTTGACAGCGTGAGGAAAAGTGCAGCTGACAATCGGCAACTGCATTTTAACCGGTGATCTGCTGTGTCATTGGACACAGCTAATCACGTGGTATAAGGCAGCTGTGATCGGCCTTTGACCACATCACGTGATCAGCTGTGTCGGCGGTGTGTGCAGGAGGGTGCGTTCTGGGAGGACATCATATGACGCCCTCCCAGAACTGGAAAACCGCGCTGTAGCCGTCATTCAGCTATAGCCTGGTTGTCAAGTGGTTAAAGGGATTATGAACGTTCCTAGCTGTAGCTTGTGTTTTTCACTTGCCTGAAATGTGCAATGGTCATGTAGTTTCATGGTGTCTTTGTTAGCCTGTATGTATGTAGAGTAAATCTTGACATTATGGTGTCAGAAGGTTCTGCTTGCCTTCTAACATGAGATATGCACTACACGGTTTAATGCATGACCTCTGTCTGTAGTCTAAGGACTGACACTTCCTGTGAAGAAATTACATTTCCCACAATCCCTTGGTCTCTGAGTCTTCTGCTCTTCAGATGAGTGCTTCGCAGTAATTGGATTTGACACTCAAAAAGGCAGACCTAATAACAAAGAGCTCACTTCGTCTATTGTCACATTAGCTGTCCCACACTTGTGATGCAACACCGAGGAAATGTCAAGGCGTGGATTGTGACACAGAACAAAAAGTTGTCTGTTTCTTTAGTGAATAGGGAAAAGCTAGGTGAATGAATACATGGACACAAGGGAATTTGTCAGCCAGACACGACAAACTGCAGCCACAACATGTGAGCCCATCATTACAAGGTAAGGCAACCAACACAGGGAATATAAGTACACTAATACCTAGTTAAAAGATCAAAATATTTGAAAGTGTACAATGCCTTTTAACTTGCTTTTTGTTTTTAAAATTGATATGTAATAGTACTTTGGTTTCATTTAAGGGGTTCTTGATCAACTGGACAAAGGAATTTAAAGTAAAAGGGATGCAGGGAATGGATGTGGTGAAGACACTGCGCAAAACCCTCAATAAAAAGAAGGTACAGTGAATATCCAGCATGGTCCTAGAAATGATTGCTAAGATGTGTTATTATAAAGTATAAGCAATGCAGGCCGAAAATGAGGCTGTGTTTTATTTTACTAAGTATTCTTGTCTTTCTGAAGCACTGTTCACCAGTTTAATGCACAGCTACATAATTTTAACTATTTTGTCACATCAACATTTAAAATTGTTCTGTACCAAATTTTCTCAATACCCCTAGCTTGGTTCCTATTTCGGCTAGAAAAATAGTGCCATAGGGTACTTCTAATGGTCCCATGTCAAATTAATTACATTTGTGATGCACATATATTTGGTTGGCCAATCACTGTCACTTCCCAGGCAAGGCTGTCTCTGATGAGTTTTTCTCATTCTTAAAGGGACAGCCTAAATCCTTGTACTGACAGCAGGTTTGTATTGTACTTTTTTTTTTTTTTTTTTAGCAAGGCAGGAAACACAGTTGTCATTACAGGGCTTTGTGCAGCAAGTCCATAGCATATAACAAGCAAAACTGCTAGGTCACTAAACTCAGGTCAGTTCCTGGCTAGTGGAGTGCCCCTTAATGGGTTCCCCAAAACAAATAGACAGCTTTTGTACTTTTGCTTAGGACTAGCTGAACATCATGAATAAATATACTGTATATAAAGCCATGTGAATAGCTGAGAATATTAATGAGGTCTGGTAACCTCTTTACCAAGTAAGATGTCAACCTAGGATTGAAGGATTTTTCCCACCTAAAGCTCTACAAAGGGCACAGAAAAGCAATAAATTACCCTATTTTTTTGTAAAATATAAAAGATGAGGTTGCATCGAGTAAACCGATATCCAACTTGTCAAACTTTAAATTTGTGCACGCTCATGAAAAGGCGACGAACGTCAGTACCCTATCTTTTCTATAGGGTAAAGCTCCTTAAAGCTTTTAAAAGCTCCTTATAGGTCATTAGTTTAACGTTACGGAGGAGTTCTGGCGCTAGAATTATTGCTCTGAATCTGGCTTGCACGGCGATATGTGACATGTGTATCGCAATTGACATTTTCATGCATAGGTGCCCCAGCATGTGCTTTTACGTTTGTATGTGCGTATATGTGAGGGTGGGTGCTTCAGTTTTTTTGGGGGGGATGGTATGTGCTTGGGTGTAACTTTAATTTTTTACAATAAAAAAACATACCTTTTTTTTCCTTTATTTTCCTTATTTTTTTACTTTTTTTTTTTCATCACTTATGTAATGATTTTTGGTGACAGGTTCTCTTTATTGAGACATCCAAGGTCTAAAAGACCCTGCATATCTCCCCTGTGCTCCCCTGAATGCAGTGCAGTGCACATCGCTCTGCAATATATTCTTTCCTCTATGGCCAGCAATCTCTCAACGGGGACCCGGAAGTAACATCATGACGTCACTTCTGAGTCAGGACAAGAAGGGGAGGGGAACAAAGTGTCCGCTCTCTCTCTCTCCCCTGCAGCCGATGGCAGTGAGCCGGTCCCGGGCCTGAAGTTTGGGCAAGCGGAGCCTGGGAGACCTCACAAAGGAGGGAGAAGGGGTTGGAGGGGCTGGCACTGTGTGGAAGCAATCAGCGGCAGTGCTGCCGCCCAAATGCTTCCACCTAACAGGTGAGCCCTGCTGCTTGCCCACAGCAGGGCTAAAGGTAAAAAAAAAACCTACATGCCCAGCACCTGGAACTGCATGTCCCAGGCGTTGGGCGATAGGAATCAACCATCCCTGATGCATGATATACTAGCACATTATGAAAGACTTGCCCTAAAATGGGCTTCCATCTTCACCTGCTCTTCCTTCCAGATTCGCAGCCTCCGGCTGTCTGACTGGCCGAGCTGTGATGACGTCACCCCCGCACGTGTGCGCAGGAGCCCCGGGCACAGTACAGAGCTCTGAAGGAACAGCACAGGTATGCCGTTTCTTCAGAGCACATGCTCCAGTGAAGTCCCTGGCTACTGCTCGCTGGAATATCTCCTAAACGGTGCAAGTTTAGGAGATATTCATTTTACCTACAGGTGAGCTTTATTATAAGCCTACCTCTAGGTAAACATAACAAAAACGAGTTTACTATCACTTTAAGTCAGTCAAAAACCCTGACATCCCTCTCTATGTGTATGTGAGAAGACTAGGTGACACATATACAACCTACACAATCCTGCTAACCAGGAATTGGAAATCAAACCCTTTTAGCACATGTTCAGAGCTTAATTACCCTGTAATGAAAGGAGAAAGGCAGAAAGGAGGAATAGTTTTCCTGGACAACATATAAAGAAAGTCCAACAATTGGACATATTGGAGTACAGACAGGGGCGGACTGACAACTCATGGGGCCCCTGGGCAATAGGGGATCATGGGGCCCCTGTGTCCTTGTCCAAACTCAAAAAAAGCCTATGAAAAAGGTACCAGGGGCATCACATAGGGCCCCCTACTGACCTCGGGCAGTACCCCAGTTTCCAAATGGTCAGTCTGCCCCTGAGTACAGATCACCTCTGATCTTTTAAGCTCCAGCAATTCCAAGCTGTTTCATATTCCAAAATAATGGCATATTCGTAAGTGTTGGTTCTCCAAAAAGCAAAATGCACCAACACAGCCATACATGCCTCTGCTTTGAACATGAATTCTACATTGTTTATTCTAGATCCCAAATGTGGAAGTCATGGCCATAGTCAATGACACAGTAGGAACAATGATGACATGTGGATTTGATGACAAGCTGTGTGAAGTTGGAGTCATTGTAGGTAATTAACATTGTTCAAATTGTGACAAGGCTACAGTTATTTCATGTAATTAAAATGAAGATAGCAATGCCCAAATCAGCTGGATAGGTTAGACTGTTATTTATCAGTTCATGTGAATATCTGATATTGATTTTGTAAGACAAGAGACTGCATGTCCTAATATAATTAGTATAACTACCTCCTTCAGTGGTGTATTTAGGTTTTGTGCTGCCCTAGGTAACACAAAAATCGAACACCCCTCCCCAGTGGAGAGAGCCTGACACCAACTTACACCAGACCCCACCCCCCACGAAGAGAGCCTGACAGTGACCAAAAACACCCCACCCGAGAAAGCCTTACACTAATACCCACCCCCCTGCCGACGACAGAGAGAAAGACACTCACCTTCACAGCTCTGGACATCCCCAAGAATGACAGTCGGGATTCTGCATCCACCATCAAGCAGCCTGCAGCCTCTCTCGGATCCCACCTGGTCCCATGCTGCATATGTCCCTTCTGGGGGGCAGTGCTGCCCCCCTAAAAAATGCCTCCCTAGGCAAATGCCCTGTTTGCCTTGTGGTAAATATGCCCCTGACCTCCATTGCTCCTATCACATTATTTAATAGTGGAGCTGGTTCTGAAATACTGCAACCTGTGATGGTAACAATTGACTAATCAACATTTAAAGCCCAGCATTACTTTTTGACAGAGTAGGGAAGGAATAGAACTTTGTTAGATTTGTATTGCGATCTGTGTCCTCATTAATGTGATTTCCCCTCACTTTTTTTTCCTCCACACTGCTGTGAGAATGGAAATACAGCAACAAAATATTATTGACATAAAATGGGGATGGGTTAGCACCACTGTCAGGGTGGTATTACTGTCTGTGTCTTAGGGACAGACCATCATTTTTTGTCCTGCTTTCACAGGGCCCAGAAGGCGAGGTTAAGTCTCTCTAAAGTGGTCCAAAACTGAAATTTAACCTTTGGCAACCAACCCAACCCTAATACTCAAAATTAGCTAAAGGTGTAACTATGAAGCTAACCCTCCCTGTGGCAGTAGTGATGTCAGCTGTGACATTGATCTTAACATAAAGTCGACATTAACCACTTCAGTACTGGGCACTTTCAAACCCTTCCTGCCTAGGACAGATTTCTGCTTTCAGTCCTGTTGGATTTTGTGACAATTGCATGGTCATGTAACACTGTACACATCTGAAATTTTTATCATTTTTGAGACAGCGCTTTATTTTGCTGGTATTTAAATGCCCCTGGGTTTTTTATTTTTTGATAAATGAAAAAAGACTGAGAATTTTGAAAAAAAAAAGTTTTTCTTAGTTTCTGTTATAAAATTTTGCAAACCAAGTAATTTTTCTTCTTCACGTATATGTGCTGATAGGCACTGATGAGGTTGCACTAATAAACTGAACAGATGGGCACTGATGAGGTGGCACTGATGAGCATTGATAGACGGCACTGATTGGTACTTATGGGGCTGCACTGATAATCGGGGCACTGATCAGTGTCCTGATTATCAGTGTAAACCATGTACTGACAGCCTTGCTGGTTATCAGCTGCTGATAAATGGCTGCTTACATGTGATCAGCTGTGATTGGACACAACTGATCACATAGTAAAGGGCTGCTGTGATTGGTCCTTTACCCTGATCTGTGATCAGCTATGTCCAAAGGACACAGAGGGTGCCTGATGCATGCCCAGGGAGTTGGGGGGTCTCTGACACCTCTTTTCTATCTAGGATGTTATAAGCAAGATATGTTCAGCATTACACTCTCATTAGATCTCCAATAATCTGGGGTCTAACTATTCGGTAAGGAACAGTGTGGTTTTTGTGGTGGTGGGCATGAGAGTCTATTTTTCATTACACACGTGGAGGATTATTGTGGACACAGCTGTTCATCCTAATTGGGATTTTCTCATCAAATGACTTTTTCATCGTTTGGTGTTTCATGCATTTTGACATAATAATATTATTGGTAGGAGTACATTTAAATTACAGGCGTACCTCAGTTTTCAAATGCCTCGGTTAATGTAACTTTTGGTTTATGAATGAAAATCTATTGAAAACAATGCCCCGGTTTACAAATTTTTTGCAATTTTTTTTCGCAATACGAAGTGTATGTCGGTGCTGATTTTTAAACGCAATTGCCGGCTTTTTTTTTTCTTCACTTTAGCTCACAGAGCTGTCACTTTCCTGGAGTTAAAGGAAGCTTTGTTTCTTTGAAGAAACTAAAAGGAAACATTGTTTCTATTAACTTGGGGAAATACACTAAAAAGAAACTTTCTCTTTTAGCAGGGGGGAAAGTGGCAGCTGAATCTCTGAGCTATAGTGAAGGAAAAAAAAGCTGTAATTACATTTAAAAACCAGCACCATAATAAATGAAAAAAAAAAGTGTGGGGTCCCCCCTTCCATCCGTACCAAGCCCTTCGGTTTTGGTATGGATTTTGAGGGGAACTCCCACGCCAAAATTTAAAAAAAAAATGGCGTGGGGGTCCCCAAAATCCCCCAACAGGTCAGGAATGGGGGGGTCGAGTGAGCGCACTCCCCCTCCTGAACCATACCCGGCCACATGCCTTCAACATGGGGGGGAGCTTTAGGGCAGGGGGGCTCCCCCCCAGAGCACCTTGTCCCCATGTTGATGGGGGCAAGGGCCTCTTCCCCACAACCCTGGCTGTGGGGGTCTGCTGGCAGGGGGCTTATCGGAATATGGAAGCCCCCTTTAACAAGTGGGCCCCCAGATCCCGCCCCCCTCCTATGTGAATGAGTATGAGGTACATGGTTCTGATACTCATTCACAAAAAACAAAAAGTGTAGTGTGAAAAAAGACAGGACACGGTCTTTGACAAGTCCTTTATTAAAAGAAAAAACTAAAAGAATGTCCCCCACAGTAGATCCAATGTCAATCACGATGCCCGCCGCCGATGACCCAAAAAAAAAGAATAAAAAAAAAGGCTTCCCTTCCGACGATGACTTTCAGCCGTCTGCGTGCTCTGGTGGTTTGACAGTTCTTAAATAGGTAAGGGGCGGCAATTCTTTTACATTCAGCTGTCCGTGGGGAACCCCACTGACAGCTGAAACATTAACACATGGTTGTCACTACTAAAATACCGCATGACTTGATAAAATAAGTCATGCGGTATTTTAGTAGCGATTGCTTTTTTTCTGACCTCAGGAACGGATTAATTGGTTTTCAATGCATTCCTATGGGAAACGGCGTTTCGAATTACGAATTTTTTGCTATACGAAAAGTCGCGCAGAATGAATTACATTCGTAAACCGAGGTATGCCTGTATAAGCAATTCACTATTATTTTTTTAATCAATAGCGCAACAACAACTGGATACACCTATTGAGTATTTGTATTGGTATTTTATGAGTGCAGCTATTGTTTCACTGTTTGTTTTATGGTTCACAATTTGTTTGGATTTTTTTGGCACTCAGTGCAGTTACATAATTTTCACAAACTTGAGATCTGACTTCAGCATTTCCTTACTGGAAGCATCAGAATTTAATTTTCTTATCAGCCCTCCTAATGGGACGCGTCTCCTACCCCATGCCCCAAAGCAGCTGTATGAGCTGCTATTGCTATTGTTACTCCACTGCGTTTTGTTGCTATGTCTTTGTTATGTCTATTATGTCTAGTTCTTATTGGCACCCCCATGCATTGGCAAAACCCCCACATTTTTGCGCACACTAAACCACATGGTTCTGAAGCATCATGCAGTTCCATGCGGCACAACTTTCAAGAAAAGGATCTGGACTTGTGTTTTTGTGGGTAGGGCAAGGGGCGGACTGACAACTCATGGGGCCCCCGGGCAATAGGGGATCATGGGGCCCCTTTTTTTCCTTGCCCAAATTCAAAAAAGCCTATGAAAAAGGTACCAGGGGCATCTCATGGGGCCCCCTACTGACCCCGGGCCCTCAGGCAGTGCCCGAGTTTCCAAATGGTCAGTCTGCCCCTGGGTAGGGCAACACATTGAAATGAATAGGCTGCCCTTTACACAGAATGCAGCCATACAAGTGTGTGTCAAGCCCTAAAGCTGAAGTTTAATTATATTATTCCCTTCCCTGGTCCACCCCCATCATTAATATGGTACTACCATTTTTAAATTATTGTTTCATTTTATTGTTTTACTACCACAAAATATTGTCCATGTATATAATGAGATCATATCTGTACTTGGGGTTTTTCCTAAGTGCTGTAACCTTTTTTTTAAAAAAACAGAGTTAAAAAACCCCCTTTAAAGTAAAATTCTAAATGTTAATCCTAACACTTAACCCTTTAACCATAACCCTCTAATTATTAACCCAAGCACTGTCTTTTACCTGATTCCTAATGCTAACTTGACCCTTTGACCCTTTGAATACTGTATTTACCTTGTCAGGTGATGATCTGTCCTGGCTAAAGGCACAGAATCTTACAGCAAGATATTAAAATGCTCTTCTCAGTTTACATATAACACATACATTTTTTGGAAGAGAGGATGGTGTATTTGTGAAATGTGGCCTTTATTGCTCTGCAGGAACTGGTACAAATGCTTGCTACATGGAGAACCTAAGTAACATTGACCTTGTTGAAGGTGATGAAGGGAGGATGTGCATTAACACGGAATGGGGAGCATTTGGAGATGATGGATCACTGGAAGACATTAGAACTGAGTTTGATAAAGAAATAGATTTAGGATCTGTTGACCCTGGAACACAGTTGTAAGTAGGTCATATTTATTTCCATTCAACACAGGTATGTCAGAATTGGTAAACTGCACTAAACTGACCACAGTTAATCTTGCTTTCCCTTCATTGGTTTTGTAGTATTCAAAAGACCTACTGTATGTACTCAATCTTTTTGTATTATTTAAACTACACAAATAATATATAGTAGGTTTTCAAAATTCACAGCACCCATCATTATGTGCATGATATGTTTACATTGTAACACTATTGTGAATGGAGTTAAAGTGAACCTAACATGGATCTGGACAATTCAAACTGACCATATCACAGAAAATGCACTGATTGTTCTGGCATGCAATTTGCTTATAAATGTATTCGTTATATATGTAGCTCTACCCCCTAAGGAGCCACTAGAAAATGAGTCCTCCTGCCATCTCTCAGTAATGACCCATCCTTAACTAAACCCAAACTCACTGACACACCAGTAGCATAAAGTGGGTTTCATTAAAGCCAGAAAGAAAACCCTGCAGAAAAAGGTATAGTAACAGTATAGCTTAAGAACAGTTGCAAGAGGTAGGAAATGCAATAATCAGATATAAACAATAACTACGTGGCCCGTCTGAGATCCCAAGGCCCTAACTATGCCGATGGCTAGTGGAGAGTCCAAGTGCAACCTGCTGGTGTTGGGATTGTGAACTCTCATTGGAAGCCTGTTTCTGAGTGGCAACAAAGTACAGACAAATGCAACTGTCTCAGCAACAGGCAGCAAAAAAATGTAAATTCTATCTCCCTGCCAGACCACTGGCTGTCTTTATGATGTTTTAAGGGATGTATTCTATTATCTGTTGAATGACAGATTTGAGAAGATGATCAGTAGTCTGTACATGGGAGAACTTGTCCGACTTATTCTGCTGAAGATGGCAAAGAAAGGTCTTCTATTTGGTGGAAAGATCTCAACGGCTCTCCGCACCAAAGGCACAATAGAAACTAGTCAAGTGGCATCCATGGAGAAGTAAGCACATTTATTATTAACAGCTGCTGTTTGCAATGATAAGGTTAAGCAGTGTCTAAGAAGATTACTAATACTAATATTACAATTAATACTAATATGTACATTAAAAAAAAACACACTTATTAAAATGGATTGCTTAAGCTATACGTATTACAGCCTCAAGTGCACATAGAAGTAAAATAATCTGGTGAAGTCACAATGGCACTATGCACCTGTATTACCTGGCCAGCCAATGTTGGGGTAAAAATTAAGCACACAACTTAGGTTTTTTTTTCAGGAACTTACTCACATTTATCAGTGGTTGGATTTTCTAAAGGGCAACCTACACCTATGTACACCTACTGTGAAATGTATGCCTTTATTGGGAATTTTGCAAGTACTGTACATTTATAATGAAAATGAAAATAAGTCTTATACTTTCTGTTATCAAGAATAAATAAGCAAGGCCATAGTAATCTAGGATTACTAAGGATATCTACAGAAGAAGAAGAAAACACTCTCCTCTTTGTAATGCTTGTTCCCTCCAAATATGATGTTTGAATAACTTCTACTCTACTATTGCAGATACAATGAGGGGCTGTATAACACTAAGCAAGTATTGCTTAACCTTGAACTGGAGCCCTCAGAAGATGATTGCATTGCTGTGCAGCATGTTGCCACCATTGTGTCATTCAGATCAGTCAATCTGTGTGCAGCTGCTCTGGCGTCAATACTCACCCGACTTCGGCAAAACAAGAAGTTAGACCGGATGAGGACCACTGTTGGAATGGATGGTACAGTCTATAAAACTCATCCTCAGTGAGTAATACGTTGTATATTCAGTATTAAACTATACAATGTACATAGGTCTTCTTTCTTACTGAGTTTGTTCTAAAACCCTAATTTTGATCTAACTTATCTAACCTTTATTATGTAAAACATAGGGCTACTGCTTCAAGGCATGCCAAAAGATAAAGGCTCCTTTCACAAAGGTGGCCAGGAGGAGGAAAGGCAAAAGTAAAAAAAAACAGCTGGCCATCAGGAGGCAAAAAATATTGCCTCCTGAATGCCTGCAAACCTCTTTTCACTGCCTTGATCAAAAGTTTACATAGCATGGAAGGTTTGGCTTTGGTAAAGACACACAAGGTGACATACACATGTTAAAATGGCAATTAAAGGTTAATTTCCCACAAATGTGGCTTTTTAAATTGCAGTTAGTGTCTGTGTATAAATAGTCAGTGAGTTTGTTAGCTTTTACTTGAATGCACTGAGCAGGCTAGATACTGAGCCACGGGAAGCAGAAAAGAACTGTCAAAATAACTGCATAACAATGTAATGCAACTTTATAGAGATGGAAAAGGATACAAATTTATATCTAAAGCCTTTAATTTAGCCAGTCAATACAGCTCAATTACTTATTAAGGATAGAAAAATTTTGGGATCTCGTGATACCAAGCCAAGGTCAGGTAGACCAAGAAAGATTGCAGCCACAGCTACTATAAGAATTGTTTGGGATACAAACAATAACCCACAGGTAACCTGGAAAAAGAGAGTGTGCTTGTTTTAAGGAGTATAATACAACAACACTTGAACAAAAATTAGCTGCATAGTCGAGTATCCAGAAAGAAGCCTTTACTGCACCAATGTGACAAAAAAAATCATTGTCAAAATACAGCATTGGGTTATACAAATATATTATGCTACCCATGTAACCTATTCAGTTTATCTATTTTTCAGATATGCTAAACGGCTCCACAAGGTGGTCAGGAGATTGGTCCCCAATTGTGATGTTCGCTTCCTGCTTTCAGAATGTGGCAGTGGGAGAGGAGCAGCTATGGTTACAGCAGTGGGTTGTAGACTTCTGAACCAACACAAGAGGATTGATGAAGTACTAGACTTGTTCCATGTCAGTGATGAGAAACTTTCAGATGTTAAGCAGAGAATGTTGACGGAACTAAAATGTGGACTTCAGAAAGAAACTCATGACAGAGCCACAGTAAAAATGTTACCAACATATGTTTACGGAACACCTGATGGGACAGGTACATATTCTACTGCTGTCTATGATGCATGAAATTGCACATGAGTGTACCCATTATTCCCAAAAGATCAGTATTTCCCTCAGCTGGAACAGCTGTGGTTATCCTTCAGTTCGGGAGGAAAAAATAAAGCTGACCACAGACAAAGAGCTTAATATACAGCCGAAAAATTTAGAAAAAAAAATATATATCCCTTCTAGACAGCATGTATAGGTTGGTGATCTGATTTTATTTATTTTTTTGCAGTTCTGTATTTTTTAGTAATAATATTAAAATAAATGAATAATAATAGTAATTGATATTAAGACAAATTCAGGAAATTACTAGCTGCATTTAACAATACATTCACATACATATCTTCATTCCCTGGTGTATTTTTATGTCTGTCTGTAGCGCAGCTTCAAGCCACCAAAAGTTACAGATACAGTGAAGGAAATAAGTATTTGATCCCCTGCTGATTTTGAATGTTTTCCCACTCATTCTAAAAATCAAATGGTAGGTGTATTGTAACACTGAGAGACAGAATAGCAACAAAAAATTCAAGAGAAATGCATGTCTAACAAATTATGCACTGATTTGCATGTTCATGAGGGAAATAAGTATTTGATCCCCTTCACAAAACATGACTTAGTACTTGGTGGCAAATCCCTTGTTGGCAATCACAGAGGTCAGACGTTTCATGTAGCTGGCCACCAGGTTTGCACACATGTCAGGAGGGATTTTGGCCCACTCCTCTTGGCAGATCCTCTCCAAGTCATTAAGGTTTGGTGGCTGTAGTTTTCAATGCCCTGGCTGAGGAAAGAAGGTTCTCACCCAAGATTTGACGGTACATTGCCCCGTCCATCGTCCCTTTGATGCGGTGCAGTTGTCCTATCCCCTTAGCAGAAAATCACCCCCAAAGCAGAATGTTTCCACCACCATGTTTGACAGTTGGGATGGTGTTCTTGGGGTCATAGGCAGCATTCCTCCTCCTCCAAACACGGCAAGTTGAGTTGATGCCAAAGAGCTCGATTTTGGTCTCATCAGACCACAACACCAGTCCTCCTCTGAGTCATTCAGATGTTCAGTGGCAAACTTCAGACGGGCCTAGTCATGTGCTTTCTTGAGCAGAGGGACATTTTGGGCACTGCAGGATTTCAATCCTTGTCGATGTAGTGTGTTACCAATTGTTTTCTTGGTAACTGTTGTCCCAGCTGCCTGGAGATCCTTGACAAGATCCTCACGTGTAGTTCTGGGATGATTCCTCACTGTTCTCATGATCATTGACACTCCACGAGGTGAGATCTTGCATGGTGCACCAGACCTAGGGAGACTGATAGTTGTTTTGTGTTTCTTCTATTTGTGAATGATTGCACCAACTGTTGTCACCTTCTCACCAAGCTGCTTGGCGATAGTTTTGTAGCCTGGTCCAGTCTTGTGTAGGTCTACAATCTTGTCCCTGACATCCTTGGACAGCTCTTTGGTCTTTGCTATGGTTTGGAATCTGATTGTCTGATTGCTCCTGTGGACAGGTGTATTTTATACAGGCAACAAAATGAGATTAGCAGCACTCCCTTTAAGAGACTGCTTCTAATCTCCGCTTGTTACCTGTATGAAAGACACCTGGTAGCCAGAAATCCTGCTGAATGATAGGGGATCAAATACTTATTTCCCTCATGTACATGCAAATCAGTGCATAATTTGTTAGACATACATCTCTTTTGAATTTTTTGTTGCTATTCTATCTGTGTTACAATACACCTACCGTTCGATTTTTAGACTGGTCATTTCTTTGTGAGTGGGCAAACATTCAAAATCAGCAGGGGATCAAATACTTATTTCCTTCACTGTATGCTGAAAACATTAACTGTTGGGTAAGCTTAAAGGATACGTTCACCTTTTAGACAAAAAAATAAATTCACATTTTTTTGCAGGTAAAAAAATGTGCATTTATTATTTCTATCTACAGGAGCCTGGAAAGCATTGCACCAGCGATCAGTCCCACATGGAAGAAAAATATATTTGAAATATATTTAAAACATATTCTTCCCAAATATATTGACATATATTTGAAATGCTACAATTTTGGCCATATTAAATATACTTCAAATATATATTATATTAAAAAAAATATATATATATATATTATGTCGAAATGCATTTTTATTACAAAATATTTGAAAAATATTCAATATATATCCGTGATTGAAATGTTGGACCTCCAACCGACTAATGCATTTCGCGGACTTGCATCTTCCTCTGAGCAAATGCCTATAGTGCCTGTATCCTCTCTTATATATCTGAATATCCTGTGGGAAGGGGATTCCAGACCCACCGATGGGCGGAGATAACAAGCACAAGAGATGCCCTTGTAAATATAAGGGAGTAGATGGGAATGGAGGACCCGATTGTAAACATTGCTACAAATATGTTATAAATCCTAAATGGTCCATAGAGCAAACACAAGTGCATAAAAACCATATATACAAATCTAATATGTGTCATACTGTATGAGTCGAATACAATTGCATCATAACAGTAAAAATCACCCAATTCTTCAATATCTGCACAAAACAAAAAAGGACTAAAATCGCACAAAGCCATGATATGATAATTAATATGTAAACTGATCACACCAAAAGAAATGTGCATGCATATAACTATACATGGAGGTACACAAAGGCTAGTTTCAGCAATGTCATAGGAGTATATTGACTCACATTATCAGTAGCTGTATTAGTGCCATAGGTCTTGAATTTAAACATGACAAGCTGCATTATGCTTTGGGTGGTAAACTCCGACGAGCAGCAATATTGTAGTTAACTAAGATGGAGTAGGGTGTCCTCTTCTGGAGCGCACGCCGGCGTGTGTGGTCCACTGGGACGTGGACTCACTCCTAACCGGGAAATGCAGAGGCGTTGTGCGTTCCACAGTGAGTCGGGAGCCGTCAGCTGACAAGTGAGCTGACCACTGCAGCCGGAAGTTCTGGCCTGATGTGCCTGTTGACAAATCTTGCTATAAAGTAATGTAATTAGCATGTTTATTAATGATGTTCTGAGTATCTTGTATTCTGATCAATCCACATTAAAAACTCCATTGAGGAAGCTTGCTGAGGTGACATCACTTCTTATAAGTTTAATATTACAATTCTGTTTAAATCATTAGGAATCAAATTTTCTGTCCTCAATATTATAAGGTGCATCCAAAAAAAAACTGATGATCCATTTTTAGGGAACCTACAGATTCACGTTTCCACAATTTTGGGAGCCAAAAATAAAAAAAATGCTCAAACCAGTCTGATTAAATTGACCATCAATTTAATAATCAGATTTAATTGATTTAGCACTACTGAATCTAATTAAATTAACATTATTGCATCGGGGCAGTAATAGGTACAAACTCTATTACAGAGAATGGAAAGTTTCTGGCTTTGGATCTTGGAGGAACAAACTTCCGAGTGTTGCTAGTGAAAATCCGCAGTGGAAGGAGGCGCTATGTGAAAATGTATAATAAGATCTTTGCCATTCCTCTGGAGATAATGCAAGGAACTGGAGAAGAGGTAACTGTACAAACTGCCTGCATGTTACAAGGGATCGTGTTGTGAATATAAGTAATATACTGAGGTTGATTTACTAAAGGTAAGTAGGCTGTTCGCTTTGCAAGGAATTTTTCCCTTAGCTTAGTGTATGAGGTGAGGTTCTGCTGACTTCCATCATCCAGTCATGTGCAAGCAAAAGATGGAGCATTCTTTGCAAAGTGAATTTTTACTCCATTCACTAAGCTAAGGGGAAATTCCAATGCATAGTGCACATTTCTTTTGAAAGTGACGGGCCTGTTTTCCTTTAGCAAATAAACCTTATAATTTACTCTGATTTAGCCTTTTTAAATGAAGGAAGTTCTCCTTTATGCCCTCCCCCAACACTTTTAGCCATTTTTAGGGGTTAGGGAGGACCCTGTTTTGGTAGGTACCAGTTCTCACTTCCGGTTAGATTGCCTAGGCCAGGGGGGTCAAACTGGCGGCCCTCCAGCTGTTGCCAAACTACAAGTCCCATCATGCCTCTGCCTTTGGGAGTCATGCTTGTAACTGTCATTCTTGCAATGCCTCATGGGACTTGTAGTTTGGCAACAGCTGGAGGGCCGCCAGTTTGACACCTGTGGACTAGGCAATTCAACTTGAAGTTCGCACTTGCCGGCTACCTCTTGGGACAGGTCACAGGTCCCATGAGGCTAAGGGACTATTCACACAGAGCAGCATGGCTCACACATGCACAGTGTGAAGCCGCAAGGAGCCACAGCTGGATTCCAACACTAAACATGCCAGCCCCTTGACGTGAAGACTAACGAAGAACCGACCGGGGTGAGGACAGTGCTGGATCTTTGGACAGGTTAGTGTCCTTTCATTAAAAGTCAGTAGCTACAGCATTTGTGGCTGGATGCTTTGGTGAAAGGTTTGTGATTAGTAAGTAATATTCCATTTCTTCTATTTATTTTCCAGCTATTTGATCATATTGTGGAATGCATTGCAGAATTCTTAGATTACATGGGAATTAAAGGTGCTCCATTGCCATTGGGATTTACATTTTCCTTCCCATGTAAACAAGATCAAATTGACAAGGTGAGTCTCACTATAAAAAAATTAAACTTCTTCTTTCATTTTTAGATAGAGTGGGGAAGGGCTAGTTAACAAGATTTCCCTTCACCTTGTGTTCTGGTGACTGATGCCACCTGGAATTGATAGTAAGGGTAAATGTTACCAACAGGAACCAATCAAAGAAATCAAAAAACACTTTTTTTTTTAAGTGGGGATGAGAAGGATTTTATGGCTGTCTGTGCTTCTGTGGAGAGGTTTCTGTTAATTTTCTGTACCAGTGACTGGTGCCATCTGAGACAAGGATTGGGAAAAAATCTCCCTAGTGAAAACACTAGAATAAAAATCCAAACTTTCCTTACTGTAGCAATGGCATATCCGAAAAGTATGATGACTGTGTTTTCTGCATATATATATATAAAGAATAAACTTTAACATTAAAGAGTATGTAATCACTTCACAGTGAACTTTCCTTGAGTGTTCGCTTTTTATTTGTTTAATATGCATTTGATGCATTTTTTAAAATATCTGTTTTAAAAGTGCAAAAAATACCCATTGATCTTGCTAGCTGTTCACTTTCAGAACCATGCATCTCTATGTTTGGAGAAGAGGAAAATGGTGGGGTTCTGTAGTCCTCTCCAGTTTCAGTTGTTCTGAGTGAACGTTGTCACCCTAGGACAGGGGGTGCTTTACCAGGTGAAAATCAAGGGAAAAAAGTTTTCATAGCCACCACATCTTGGGTCTGGCAAATATATTTATTTTTGTTTTTGGGTTTAAATATGCTTTAAATATGTAGGACTGCATTTTTTTTGTATATTCTTCTTCTCAGAATTCCACACATCTCTGTACACTAAGCTATAACAATCGCTATTTGCCATTACAAGTTTTTTTTGAGTCACGAACGTTAACGAGCGCTGAAAATAATTACATGGTAAAAATAACCATTGTGGCAAATAACACGTGTTATAGAATAATGAATTTAGGATTTTCTCGCTTGTTTAAGCTTTCTGTTTTATTAGCAGTTGGGTTTCCACAGGCAAGTACCAGTACAGAAATTGTACAGTATATGTGTACAACTAACATGAACACACAGACTGTAGACTAGAAATAATAAGTGTATGTGGTAATATTCAATTATTGGAAACAACCATTATACATATTATTGAGAAGGAAATAGATGACGAGTAGATAGTTGAGAAGAGTGAATGAAGGGCAGGAAGGGGGGATACAGGAAAGATAACAAATGGTGGAGACTCTGTTTTAAGAGAGGAAGGGGAGTTGGCCAGAGAGGATTCACATACCACAAGTGCCATGAGGTATGAGGATAGAAACCATCACAATTCCAGTAAATGGCAGTCAAAATTTTGTAGTAGGTAGTGGGAGATCCGCAGTTTCCAAATTCAATTAAAAGTTGTCATGAAGCCCTAAGGTATTGCCATTAACTTAACTTCTCATTAAGCAGTATCCATTGCATTTGAGATTTAACCCCCAACACCGATAGGTGCATTGGCAGCCAAGCTGAGTTTAGACTTTTTATGTTATTAAATAGCCTAGAAACTGAATTGAGTTACAGCTTGTGTACGTGGGAGATTCTTTTGAGAATAGGTGCCTTGTGAAAGGGAAGCCTTTATCATTTAGGGTGTTCTTATACTATCCCTAACCGTAAATGGTTTGGAAATAATATGGTGCTGTCATAATGAAATTGTCATTCGTAGATGTAAAACATTGCAAATTTTGTGTTTTGTTTTTTTTTTTAAATACTTATCTTCTATATGTTAAGTACTGGCCATAGACAGGTAAACATTTCCCTGTAATTAAGGGCTTAGTTAACTTCTACCCAACCTCAAATGTGCTGTTACTCACCACTTGTGAAGTGACCTCTGACAAGTTGTAAAGTCTGTGTGTTTAATAATGAGTGCTTCCAATGGTCATAAGCACTTAGTGCCACCCCCAAGGGTAGCGATATACTGTATACTTCTCCACTGAGTGTTGCATTCAACTGTCCAGATACAGGATTGGGTCAGGGATGGCTACTTAATCTAAGCTCCATTTTACATTTGTTTATTTGACAATAAATTGTTAACCAATCTGGATAAAGAATCACAGCTCACATTGTATAACTGACACAAGTTATTACAAAATACCTGTTTATTATGACTGACCTGCCCCTTCTTAACTAATATTCCACTAAAAACTGTTAATAAAATAAATAAAATAATAAACTGTTTTAAAATATTGTTCCATTCTAATAGTTCATTTATAACTGCTTTAGGGAACATTGGTGGGATGGACAAAGGGTTTCAAGGCCACAGACTGTGAAGGACAAGACGTGGTAGATATGTTGCGAGAAGCCATCAAGAGGAGAAATGTAAGTAATCTCAATTTTGGAAACTTATTTGATAACGAATAAAATTAACGCTTATCATTGTACAGTGATTTTACAATGTACAAGGGGCATGCAGCACACTTCAATGTTCCTTTCTGTTTTAAAGGAGTTTGACTTGGACATTGTTGCCATTGTCAATGACACAGTTGGGACAATGATGACCTGTGGGTATGAAGACCCAAACTGTGAGATTGGACTTATTGCAGGTAACTACTTTGATCATCGGTAGGTTCCTACAATTAAAAATGTGCTATTGTTATATAGCTGGAAATAGATATTAGTGATAAAGGACAAATCGTTAAAAAAAATAAAATTTGTTACTTTAATTGACCATTAAAAATGTACATAAAACAGTAGTATGCAATAGGTGAGAAATAGGTGTTGCACAACTCTCATTGGGAAGATTTTGACCATGGTGTTGCTTGAAGGGGAACAAGAGTACATTCTCAAGGAGTACATATATTGGGGTTTGGGGTATCTCAGGCTAAAACGTTTTTGGTTTTGGCTAGTGTAGAAAATGCTTGGGTTTTTTTTTTTTGCATTCCAGTAAGGAAAATACTCTTAGACAGTTTTCCACAGAACAGTGACCATGCATATCACACAAACAGGGAATGAAGGAGCACTGACTACTATGTGAGAGCTAAAGCAGAGTGTCAAACCTTCTAAGAATGTGGTAAGGTTGTCCATATACATGCAGCCTAGACTAAGGCTGGCCATATATATAATACAATTTTCTTGTTCAATTTTCCTTTAGATTTACCAAAACCAAACCTAAACACTTTCAATTTGTATGCAATCGGGCAGGCCCTTGCACTACATAGTTGAAGGGAAATCTAAAGGAAATTGGAAGGAAAAATATATAATTTTTGACAAGCTTAAGACGTCTGCCTCCTTCCTGTGGTCAGATCTGTAAACATAGTGTGGTGATGGCCAAATCTGACATATATAGGAGTTCTGGTCAGGTGTTGATTGCTCATATAGTCCTGGAGACATTGATAGTAATAGTTTGAGAGCCTCACACACATGCTGATATAGCCTACCAATTATTGTATCTTCCATCCAGGCAGTTAGATATCCAATTGGATATATGTTGAGCTAAAATGTCAGTGAAAGCCTAACATGTGGCCATCATCTCATTTCACTTTAACAATAGGAACAGATGTGAACTATCCAGTTACTGTACATTGTTAATTTTGTGTTGTACTGTTTAATAGAAATGGGTTGTGTCATCCCCAGGTACTGGTAGCAATTTGTGTTACATGGAAGAAATGAAGAACATTGAGTTTCTGGAAAGAGATGAAGGGAGAATGTGTATAAACACAGAATGGGGAGGTTTTGGAGACAATGATTGCCTAGCTGACATCCAGACCCAGTATGACAGACATGTGGATGAGAAGTCACTGAATCCGGGAAAACAAAGGTAAAAGTAATGTATTCTCATTTAAATATTGCATTGGTATCCTGTCGTCAACCTTAGTGACCATGAATAAGCAATCCCGCACCTATATAGATGTTTGATCAAAGTGAGGAATCAGTTTATAAACGTAATTTAAAAAAATACTTGTGTTCAAGTGGGTGTTATCTCGTTAAAGGGAGTCAAAGGGATACATTCAAGGTATTATATACATAAATACTCTGGCCTTTTATGAGATTTAGAAGCTGTGCTTCCTCTGTCCTGTATAAGCTTTAACAGCTATTTTCATGGGATGCTTAGGAAAAGCAAGAGTAAAGACAATTGCATTTTATTCCAAATTCAAAGGTTTTATTTCAGATCCCTCAAAATTCTTTATATAGAATTTCAGAGACAAAACACAATTACAGATGCCTTATTGCTTACAGTTGTCCACCTAGAATAACAAGGGATGGATGTTTTGATAGTTATATAAAGTTGAAAACATTAGTGTTGATGAAGATAATTATACAAGTTCCATGTAGAGTCAGGTTTGTTTCCTATAAAACTGTTATATTTGCTACACAGACATTTGATTTAATTTGTATGTTTCTGATCTATACAGTTATGAGAAGATGACCAGTGGCATGTATCTCGGAGAAATTGTGAGACAAATTTTAATTGATCTAACTAAAAAAGGGCTCCTATTTCGTGGTCAGATATCCGAAAGACTGAGGACAAAAGGGATATTTGAAACAAAATTTTTGTCACAGATTGAAAGGTTATTATTATCATTATCAAGTATCTTTTTATTAATGTTCAAATACTTAATTGACTAAAACATATAAAATGTACATCAAAACATCGTTTTTCTGGTTTGAAATAGAGTGGGGAAGGATTAGACCTCCTATCTAGGTTTTATTTTTTTCCCTAATAAAAATAAAGAATTCTTTTGAATTTTGTATCTTAGCAAAGCTGTTGTATTAAATAAGCCCCTAGCTAGCACACTACAGGTAGTGCGGTTCCTAACATATTCTGGTGTGATTTTTTTTTTTTCTGTATCCCTAAAATGTCCCATAGACACAGCAGAAAGCAAGAGGAAGTGTCCTTATAAAATGCATATTCAGTTTTCAACTGCATAAATTGCACACATTATAGAAGTATAAGGAAATCAATTTTTTTAAAGAGAGAAGAGATATTCATTTTGCCAAGTTGAGGGTTCTTTTCTATCCGTTTGTGTGACACTTTTGTCTTGAAATGCTTGCAGTGTGGCAACACTGGCCTTCAACTCATTGTCCTCCACTCAAACCTCAATCTCATTTCAAACTAAATCTTGCTACTCTCTCCCTGACAATTTTTGTTTCTTTCCTCTACAATTTTCTCTTGCTATGTCTGTACAACATTCTATTCAATTGGTCATCCTCTTTAAAAAAAAAGAAACCAAAAAAACCCTTTGTCCCATTTAATCTATGCTTACATCTGGCCTCTTGTTCCACTCCATTGTTTTTTTATCTTCTGTTTCTGTCTGGACCCCCCTTATATAAAGACATGGATGGTGATTAAACGTTGGCCCAGAAATTTCATCTCTAGCATCTCCCTTTGTTTTCCAGTTTCAGTGAAAATTGTTAAATTTTCATTAGGTTTCCCTATGACTGTAAAATGTTAAATTCCTTTCAGTTTTTGTCCTGGTCAATGCAGGGAGAAGCATAACAGCACAGGAAGATATGTATGAAGGACTGCATAGCAGGTGAACAATGCAACATAAGGGTGAAGAACAACAGTTGAAAACTGAATAAACATTTACACTGTGGCGTTCATTAGTATTTTTATGCACTCTGAACTGTGGTACTCCATGTGCAATTTGATATGTATGGAACATTGGATGTATAATCAAATATTATTATTATTATTATACAGGATTTATATAGCACCAACAGTTTGCTCAGTGCTTTACAATATAACGGGAGACAAAGCGGCAATTATACAGTTCAATACAAGAGGGAAAGGAGGGCCCTGCTGCTTGGAGCTTACAATCTAAGAGGGAGGGGCTAGTGGTACAAAAGGTATTAACTGTGTAGGAGGAGTAGAAGATTCCATTATTAGCTGAGGGCAGGATAGCCTTCCCTGAAGAGAGAGGTTTTCAGAGATCTCCTAAAAGTGAGCAGAGTAGGCGATAGTCTGATAAATTGGGTGAGAGTGCCAGAGGATGGGGGAAGCTCTGGAGAAGTCCTGGAGACGAGCATGGGAGGAGGAGACAAGGGAGCTAGAGAAGCGGAGGTCGTGCGAGGAGCTGAGAGTATGGTTTGGATGATATTTGGAGACAAGATTGGTGATGTAATTTGGGGCAGAGTTATAAATGGCTTTATATGTTATTAATGTTTTGAATTTTATCCGTTGGGCAATGGGAAGCCAGTGGAGGGATTGGCAGAGAGGGGTGGCAGATACAGAACGGTTAGTAAGCTGGATGAGATTGGCAGCAGCATTCATGATAGACTGAAGAAGGGATAGCCTGCTATGAGGTAGGCCAATGAGGAGGGAGTTACAATAGGCGAGAGACAACAAGGGAGTGAATAAGTTGCTTAGTGGTTTCTGAGGTTAAAAATGGCCGTATCTTGGAGATGTTGCAGAGGTGAAGTCTAAATGATTTGGATAGCGATTGGATTTGGGGGTGAAAGGACAGATGAGAGTCTAGGATTACACCTAGTACCCTGGCATGAGGGGAGGGACTGATGGTTGTATTATTGATCTTGATGGAGAAGTCAGGGGAGGGGGCATGGGCTGGGGGAATACTAAGAGCTCAGTTTTGGAAAGATTGAGTTTGAGTAAGTAGAGTGACATCCAGTCCGATATGTCACTTAGTAGGTTAGTAATGCGAAAGAAGACTGAAGGGGTGAGGTGAGGGGTAGAAAGATAGATTTGTTTGTCATCAACATAGAGATGGTACTTAAAGCCATGGAAGTTTATCAAGTGACCAAGGGAGGAGGTGTAGATGGAGAAGAGAAGGGTTCCAAGGACAGAACCTTAAGGGACCCTTACAGAAAGAGGGAGTGGAGAGTGGAGTTTTTTGAGAAGGAGAGGATGGTCAACAGTATCAAAAGCCACAGCAAGGTCAAGTAGTAAAAGTATGGAGTAGTGGCCATTGGTTTTTCAAATATTTATGTGAATATTTGATATATATCAGTGTAATATGTAAATACTGTAGAAGATGAATTTATTCTTACATTCACAGTATATTGACTTCCAGTATTAAGTTTTGAGATGTGAGCCTTGAAGTTAGTCATGGTTTATTAAGAGTGTGTGGCCTGAGTGGAAAACAATTGCTGGCTACTGTTTTATGCACCCTGACCATTTGGAATGCTTATCAGGTATCAGGAAACTAAGGCAGGACATAGATGATGCAATTTTCTTTTCTGCAAGGAAAGAAAATAGCTTGATTCCCCCATCAGCACAGTCAGTGTTGATGTGGGAATCTCTCCCACAGAGCTATTGTGTTCTCCCAGCAGGGGCCCCTGGCTGTATCAAATCTTAAAAATCCAACATGCTGGTTGTACCCAAGTCAATGGATCGACTTTGGTACAATCAGCCTGTCCATACATGGTTTGAATCTTGGTCGGTCCCTGCTGAACTGGACGAAATTCGAACCATCTATGGCCAGCTCATGTGTCCCTTGTTTTGCTTTTTCTCACAAGCCTTTAGACAAGCTGCTACAAAAAGTGATAGTGGACAAACAAAGCTGTTGGGTTTAATTTTATGTTTGTGGTGGCTTGTTTGTTTTTTGTTCAGTTATATACTTGCACTTTGCTGAATACATCCCCGTGTATGTATAGTTCACCAAAACCCTATATGTATATTTTTTACTCAGTGATCGTCTAGCCCTCCTTCAAGTCAGGAAGATCCTACAGCAACTGGGTTTGGACAGTACATGTGATGACAGTATCATTGTAAAAGAAGTTTGTGGTGCTGTATCAACAAGAGCAGCAAAGTTATGTGGGGCTGGGTTGGCGGCTGTTGTAGATAAAATAAGAGACAACCGGGCTCTAGACCATCTCAGAACTACTGTTGGCGTTGATGGGACCTTGTACAAATTACATCCACAGTAAGTTATCATTATTTTAATCGATTGCAAATGCAAAGAACAGAGACGGCAAAAAAATATTCATTTAAAAATGTATGCAAGTATTATTAATATGTTTGAAATTTTACATTTTATAACATAGTACAGCCTACTTTATGCCACAGTTTGGGTTTATGTCACTTCTGAGAATTTCCAGTATATTAATCTTCATCCAGAGGCTGAATGACATGAAATGAATCATAAAGGTGCACCCATTGCAATATAAAATATATGGGTATACCTTAAAAGCCTAATTTAAAATTTGATATGACTTCCTTGTGTCATTTTTAAAGACTGTCTTCTACTTTCCATAGATGGTGCAGCATAGTTAGCAAACAAGGGCTCCAAAGTACCACCAAAGCTTAAAGTGTTACTAAACCCACAACAGTAAAATCAGTCTGTATATGCAGTAAAGCATGCTTGGTATACTCACTGTAGAACCTAAGGGATTAATCCTCCAGATTGTGTAAAAAGACTGTTTGATCTTGTCTTCTCTGATCCTCCCCTTCTTCCCCTGTCCCCAATCTATCTGTTGATAGTACAGAGCTCTAAGATCACTCTGCACATGCTCAGTTAAGTGTGTATTGCTAGAGAGATTGTTTTTATTTGGGAACGTGCATGTAATCAGTACAGGGCCAATCAGCACTGTCCAGACAGAAGGTGAAGGGTTATGTAGCCTCATAGGACAGTCAGAGCAGAATGAAAACTCCTACTACGAGCTCTAACTAGTGCTCAGCTGGACACTGATAGAAGTCTTAAGACTGCTATATTCTGCTGATGAGAAAAGGTATTTAGCAGTTTATAGTTGCTAAAATAATTGTATTTCCATGTTCTGTGTACTGTGTGAGACCAGATATAGGGAATGCATGGCCCTGGGTTTAGTAATACTTTAATTTTAAGAATGATAAACTGACTGTTTCATTGTTTTATTAGTCAGCAATTTTTCAACTATAGCATCACTCAACAGCAAGATACATCATACTGCCTCCAATGCAAGCTGACTATACTTTTCCAAAGTTTTTGTACATCAGTAATCTCACTACAGCCTAACACATAATTAAGAAACCATCTAAATAATTTAGGAAACAGGTACTGAATATGGCTATATACTGTAAGTATTGACAAATGCTTTTCTCTTCTTAGTTTCTCCAGGATTTTGCAGGAAACAGTAAAGAAACTGTCACCAAAATGTGATGTGACCTTTATGTTATCTGAAGATGGGAGTGGGAAGGGAGCAGCGCTGATTACTGCGGTGGCCAAACGTTTTCACAGTCAAGAAGAAGAGAATAAAAATTCTTTTGACCTAAACATTTAAAACATAACAGAAAACATAAAAATGCCGCTCCTAAGCCATAACATGTCACAGCAGTTTGGAGAACCTGTTGGCTTTTAGGCCCATTCCCAAGCATTGCAGAATTGCCTTCAAATTTTTGTGGCTCTTCAACTATTGAAGGAAGGTGGAAGTGCAGACCAATGAAGCATAGAAGTTTAAAGTATGACACACGGAGATGCGCATAATTTATATATTTCTCTACAGCTCCCTTCCCCATTCTGTTCACTCTATAGCTGGTAGAACTGAACAAGAAGTCGTTACAATGTGAAATGTATTCCCTTATTTGGACTTTTGTTCTTTTTTTGGCAGTATAACCATAATAAAAACACACCACTCTCCACTGGTTTAGGTCCCATTTACACTTTTGCGCACTTTTTCTCACAGCAGCAACGGGCAGCCTATTCTCTTGAACGGGCTGCCCTACATGTGACAAACATGCCAAAGTAGCTCCTGCATCTTTTTTGGGCAGTGAGCCTTGCGCTTTTTTTTCGACTGCTTGTTTTAGTGCATTTTGTTGCACAACAAAACAAGCACTTGCTAGCAATTTTTGGGTGCCATTAATAATTAGTGGTACTGCAAGTGTGTTGTTAATTCCCAGAACATGCATGTATGAATGGGGCCTTAGGGTTGCTTTCCCATCAAGTACTGTACATGTAAGGTGGCAAAACTACCTTTTGAATATAAAAATGTTTGGGAAGATGCAAATAGTATGTTCTTGTTCTGGCCAATTAACTTTCTGTACAAATAGTTTACTTGCAGTAAAGAAAAGTCAGCTGCTTAAGCGGGAACCAGGCAAATTTTTTATCCATTTCTTTATTACTAAACGGAGTGTATTTATTATATTCATAGGGTGGCAGCTTTTATTCTACATATTTTACATATGTTTTGATGGTAAAATAACACAATAAAATAAAATTGTTATTTCACAATATTGTTTTTGGTGCGGAGTCACAAGTTAATATAGAATTTTGATCCATGTATGGGAAGGCTGATTGTACCCAAGTCGGTCGATGGATCAACTTGGGTACAACCAGCCTGTCCGTTTTTTTGGCATGCAATTACTGCGAGCAGTTATAACCGCCAGCAGTAATCCTTGCATCCTGCTGGCTGGGAAGGCGCCCTTCCAGTGGAAGGAAAGAAAATCAGTTAATCTATGGTTTGTCTAAGATTTGAGAGCGTTTGAAAGGGGGAGTCCACAACAGTCTCTGTGGCAGTGCCTGCATTGTTCAATTGTGGGAACAGCCACCATAGCATATACACCAGTTGAGAGGCAAAGTAATATCTTTGCAAATATGGGATTACCAAGCCACATTGAGAGCTGCAGCATAGAAAGGGAGAATCTGGAAGGCTAAATAAATGAAGTAATTAAGGAGTTCAGTTTTTGGAAGATGCATTTTGGAATGTAGGCAGGAGATTTAGAAAAAAAATATATAAAAACTTTGATAGAAACACCATTTTAAATGAACGAATACTTCCAAGTAAGGTTAGGGGGAGTATAGGCCAAACAGATATTTTGTGTTTTTAAAGCTGAAATAACAGGGGTCAGATTATTATCAGTGTTGATGGTAATTGTATCTGTACCCCTAAAGTATTTAAATTTGTCAGTAGACTTCAATGGACAGTTAGTACTCAAGCCCAGAGAAGACTTTTTCCTGCTGTATAGGTCTGAAATAATATTAACTATAAGGGGTAGCCATTTGTTTGAGTATCTTAAATCATTATCCATGCAATAAATGGAGGATGAAAACCATTTTTTCCAGAACATAGGTAATTTGAACCACTCTATGAATTTAAAGGCCGCATAATTGTTTAATGCTAAAATAGCTTTGGGGAGGAATGTGAAGGTTAATAAAGAGTCTTCAAATGTTAATATTCGTGGACCTACCTGGGATGGACCCTGTTTGTTCTGAGTAGGGATAACAGAATGTAGTCAACATTCTAATGTTTTAGCCAGAATTTTGACATCCCTATTGATAAGTGAGATTAGTCTATAGAATAAAAGGAGTCCCTATTTAGTTTAGGGATTAGTACAATTAATGTTCTGAAACATATATCAATTGTAACAAACAACAGTGCAGCGCTTCAAGAATAAATAAATGAATGAAGACAAAATATATATATACATATGTAAAGTCTATGCAATATCCGTGGTATTGTCTGATGAATATACTTCCGAAGTATGTACTGCCTCGAAATAACAGCAATGCGCACTCACCAGAAACGCATGGAATATGCGCATATAGGAGTAATCATCCCGGGTGTCCGATCCGACGAAGACCGAGTGGTGGGCTTCCTATTCACGATGGGTCATCAGAAACAACACGACAGATCCAGAGGTCCCCTTAAGGTTAGTCACACTGATAGTGTAGATCCCTCTTCTGGCTGATAAGGGTACCCTTTCTGTGGGAGTAGCAGCTCCAAGAAGGAGCCCCAAAAAACAGGTGCCAGAGATAGTGTAGTATGTTCTTAAGGTGATTTTATTAGTCAGACAAAGCAATAGGGCAGTATGCACATCACAGCATATGTGTAAAGGTAAAAGAACAGCATTACTGACCCCAGTAAAGATGGCCGCCGGGCCTCCTCGTGGCTCCGGCGGTAGGAAATGACGTCACGCTCTGCACAGCTCCTCCTTAGGCCTTTCGTGCTATAGGCACATCATCAGAGGGGAGGCTGTCAGCTGTTGTTTGTTACAATTGATATACGTATATTTTAAAGGTATTGTGGTTACCTGAAGTGTTCTAGCTGCTGTATACATTTGAGAGCGCTCACTACATATTACTTTTTAAATGTTCTGAAACATGTTGGGAATTATGTGAAGATTTTATTATCGCCAAGCAAGACATGTATCTATATTGTTGTATTTCTAAATACACTTGGATTAATTAATTGGTGTATCATATTGTATTTTACCTTTGTCCCATTGGCCATTTGGCCATTTTTTTGGAATTGATAATAAAGATTGATTACTTGTTTTTTAATATATTTCATGTTTCATATCTTCTGCCTCTAAAGTCCACTGGGGAATCCTTTGACCTTTTGGTCGCCTTCATTTATATTGCATATAGAACTCTAAAGGATAGCCATCCAGACCTGAAAGTTTATGCTTAAGGAAAGGACAGTCAATTTATTTTTCTGTTATATGACTCCGGAGTCAAAGGAAGAATTCCCTATGTGTGCAGGAGTGGTGACATAGCTCAACTGAGCTGGGGTAGATCACAAGATCAGCAGGGTGATCATATTGGACCTGTGTTTTTTTTTTTATAAATCACTATAAAAGTGGAGGAATGCCTTTATGTTGGTGTTGTTAGACATTTGTAGAGTGTGACTGGCATTGTATATTATGTGTATAGTTATAGTGACCTGCTCTGGTTTGGCCAGAAAAGCAATAAGGTAGCTATTTTTGTTGTTGATTTTAAAAATGTGGTGTACCTGGTAAATTAGGTATTTTGGAGTCCCCTCTGCAAGTTTGTAGAGGCATTGACTACACTTCTTCTCCTCGACAGTATCTGGAGTTAAGTTTTTTTGTGTAGGCTCTCTCTGTCTCCAGTCTTTCCTGTCCCAATCTATTTATTTTATCTCCTTTTAGCTTTTATAGCTCACACATGGCCAACATGAACAAGCCTGGCCTTGTAGCCTTAAAGGCTACCCAAAGAGTCTCTTCAGAAGTCATCCCCCCTGCCATTGTCCCATCAGAAATATTCCATATCTGAGGAGCAGCTGTAAGTGACATTAGAAAAAAACAAAAAAATACCATTCTCCAAGGTTCAAGGTCTTCCAATCAGAGTAGTTTAAATGGCCCATGGCAGAGAGATGATAAAAGATACTTTTAAGGACATATCTAATCTGGATAGTGTGTTTATATGACTCAGACTGACAAAGGTCTTCTCATTTGTCAGGATGTTTCAATTTCCATATTTCAGTTACATTGTAACTATGTAACCAGGCCTGCAGTGCAGCAGGATACGCCTTTGTGCTGCCAAATCTATCCAGAATAGGATCAAATATTGTATTGAAATGCCCTGCTAACATGCAAACATTCAACCTGGCCATATCAAATGGGGTGGGGGATACACATTACAAATGGTAAAAGATATTTAAGACTAGGATAGCCCTTACTGCAGAAATGTGCACATTCAAGATCTTGAACACTAGGACAAAATCTTCTCTTGAAACGAAAAGTGGCACAAAAAGTGTGTGCTACTGGGGGCTGCTTGAGTGCCATAACTTTAGAACCAGTCCGATGTGTTTCCTGAAGAAACACTGTGTATGGGTTGATACAGAGACCAAAACAGGGACTGTTTCAAGGAGACCAGGAACAATGAAGGTTGTGCTGGGGACATGGATGGCAGGACAGGGGTTTGTTACCAGGGAATGTTTAAACAGCAAATGGGGCAATTTAGCGAAACTACCCACTGGACTGGAGTCAGGGAAATGAGAATGTTATTTGGTGTGGTTCACTGATTAAATTTAGGGATTATCACACATGTGCTAAGGACTGGTTGGTGGTGTTAACACACATGCACTGGGCATGGAGGAGTTTTATACACGTGCTGGCGATTACCTGCTGATGGTTAAAGCAAATGTGAATGACCACTGAGGGGTAAAAGCAGAAGTGTGAGGTACTAGCAGTTGGGAGAATGATGATGAATGCACAGAAGCAGAATAACAGTTAATAAGAGGTGAAAGCACATACATTGGTTACTGAGTGATAAGAAGTTAACATACCTGCCCGGGGACTAAGAACTGAGGAGAAAATGCACATGCCTGAAGAACGGGCATTGAGGAATCATCACTTATCCACAGAGGAATGAGCGCCGAGGGGTTAACGTACCTAAGCTGAGGCTTGGTGCTAAGGGGTTAACACTTATATGCTGGGGACAGACCAATGAAAGGTTGATCCACATGATTTTGAAACAGATCACATACATTGGAGACAGGTGATTGATGCGTTAGCTGGGGGGCTGAGGAGCTAACACTTCTTT